CATCCCAGTCCAGCTGGGCTCTAGGACCCGGAAGGAGAGTGCTAGGAAACGTGGCCCTGTCCCCAGGGGCAGCCTGGCCAAGCCACTTGGACAAATAAATGCATTCCCTCTGGGGGAAGCCAAGAGGGCTGCCTGCTGCTGCTTCCCCCAGCCACATCTGGGCAGGTGGCCAGCAGCTACAGTCTTCCCCAGGCCTGGTCACCTGAGTCTGTCAGTCGCCTGCAGGCCATCTGTTGGAAAAGGAACACCATTTCTCCCAGAACCAGCCCTGCTATCTCCCCATCCCAGCCCCAGGCCCCAGACTGCTGAGAAAGGAGCCAGTAGTGAGATTAGGAAATCAAACCCCAAGACACTTGGTCAGGCAACCAGGATGCACTTCTTGTTTGGATAACCAAAGGCTGAAAATGCCAAGAATTTACGGGCAGTGTGGGGAGGCCGGGCCAGTATGGGCGTGTCCAGGCTAGACCAGGCCCCACACCAGGCTCCCACTGCGTGCTCTCTTGACCCACATACAACCAGGCGAGGCCCCGAGACCCTTGGGCTGCAAAGCCAAGTTATTCTGAGGTCTGACGTCACGGTCCTGGAGCGAACCACAGAACTGGGACACTGCCCATCCTGGCTCCTCCTGCTTGGCTCTGGGTATAGAGTTGGGGGAAAAAGGGAGGCCCAAGTTGGGTGGCCCAGCTGACAGATGGAGGCTGACCATGGGTTCATGTGTCCAGGGTCTCTAATGTGGACAGTCTGAGAAGTGGAGGCAGAAGGCTTAGCATGGGGACCAGGGGAGGACCAGGGAGAGGCACAGAGACAGAGAGGCAGTCAGCCAGGAAGTGGGGGTGCTTCCTGGAGTTAGCAGCTACAAGACAGGACCATTGTGAGATCTATCAAACGTGGAGAAGAGAGAGACATCAGGCAGGCAAGCTGCAAAGGGATAGGAAGGCAGAGGCCCCAGGGGAACAAGATGCAGAAGCTAGGAAAGATGTGGAGAGGGTATGGCAGGGAGCCTGGGGTTTGTGTCTGGCACTGCTTCTCCTCAATCTTCCCATGTGTAGAATGAGTTGTTCTGTGGACTGTGGGCCAAAGGCAGCAGATAGCACTTCCTGGCTGGAATACATGAGGCAGTCCACAGTACTGACAGGGAGTACCTGCTGCAAGCAGGTGCTTCTTCCACTCTACTCCAACCTCACCAACGAAGCACTGGGTGCAGGGCTGGCCCTGGGGGGCTATGTGACCAACTGCTCAGCTGCAGCCTGGGCCCCCGCTGGCCCTCCACCTTGACGCTTTCCACCTGGAGGAAGCGGAGCAGAGCCCAGAGCTGACATGCAACCTGCAGAAAGCTGCTCCAGTCATGGGCCAGGGGCTTTCCAGGGGGGAGGAGCAGAGAGAGCAGTGGGAGAAGGGGTGATCAGGGACAAGGAGAAAGGGGGAAGGTCCCAAGAGAGAAGGATAATGAGGAAGAGGGGGGCAGGGAGCTGATGGGCTGCCCCTCTCCTCACACTGTGCACTTTGAGCTTGGGACCCCAGCTGGCTGCAGACCAGGGCCTGCGACCTGTGGACACAGAGGGAGCATCCCTACTCTGCAGAGCTCACCTCCCTGCCTCCTCCTCCCATAGGCAGGAAAAAGAACCAGAGCCCTGTCCCTCACCCTGCAGGCCTTTTCCTTCTGTGGCCTCTGCTCCCTCCTCTGCTCATGGAGGGAACAGCAGGGGAACTGGGGACCCAGGCTGAGTAGGTTCTCATGACAGGGAGGGTGCCCCCTGTGGCCACCCCCTTGCAGAGGATACAACATGCTTAATGATGCTGTTGCTTCTGGTGTAATTACAGATGGTTTCGAAACTATTTTTTTTTTCTTTTTGCTCTCTCTTCTGGCATGTTAAAGCAAAAGCCAAAAGGAAGTGCTTGCATTTCAAAGGCTCTGAGGCCAAGAGGAGAACCAAAGGAAGGTCATGGTCACAGCTGTAGAAGTTAGCAAGCATTCCCGGCTCAGAAGGAGAGGGAACAGATCTGGGCAGCTAGGGGCAATGTGTCTCAACATGGGGAGTAAGGACCCAAGAATTGTCGGACCTGTGTCCCTGTTTCCAGGAAGACCCCCACAAAGCAGCAGAGCAGCAGCTGGTATGCACCTTGAGTTTGCTGTGTTCCCAGCACCAGGCCAGGGACTTCACAGGCATTACCTATTAAGTCCTCACAGGGGTAAGAAGCATTATTGTCTCTTTTGACAGGCAAGAAAACTGAGGCTCAGGGAGGTGGAGTGAGTGACTACAGGGTATACAGCTCAGAAGAGGCCAAACTGAGGCTCAGCTCCCAGCAGCTGTGCTCCAGAGTCATGGCTGTCCCCTTCAGGCTCCCCTTCTGCTTTCCAAAAAGGGGACAGTAACAGGCACAGCAGGGACCAAGTGTCCTGCCTTATGGGTCTGCTCTTGTGGCAGGTATAGAGGGACTGAGCACTGACCCAGAAGCGCCTTCTCAGCAGGTGGCAGTAGCGAACATCAACTTGGAAAGCCACTGGAGGCTACCTAGGATCAAAAACCCTTTAAGAACACCTGTGTGGGCAGGTGGCATTTATAACCCCAAGGTACTGGCAACCCTGCTCAGGCCTGAGATTTCCCTGTCCAGAGAAGAAATTGTGCCAAGTTGAATACACATGCCCAGACCCCCGGGGGCTACCCTCCACCCCCAATCCTTGTGAGGCAAGGCTGGGTGCAACATAAGAGGGATCTCTCTGATATTCTCTGCCATCCCATGACATTTTCCAGTTTGTAGATGGAGAAACATTCACTCATGTATGGCCACCTGGCAAGGAAGTGCTGGGCTAGGGCATGGGCTCAGGTTGGCTGGACTCCCTCATCCGTCCTCTCTGGCCCCATGGCACTCTATGACACTGTGACCCCTGCTCAGGATCACCAGACCAGGTGGATGAACATCAGAAAGACATATCCCACAACAGGCTGGGAACCTTCCAACCTCTGACAGCTATTGACTTAGATAGCACCCATCCCAAGCATGAGGCACCCTGCTCACAGAATGAACAGGACCTGCTGCTGGGGAGAACGGGGCGGGGGGCAGGCAGGTTGCCGGCTGGGTGGTGTGACCTCTCAAACAGAGAAGTACTTTTGGCTGGGAGGAAGAAGCTGGGTCCCAGGCTGCTCTGGAGTTGAGACCCCCACCCCATAAGCACATAGAGGGGAGTTATTTTTGAGTTGGGAGCTGGGGACCTCCTCAGCTGCCAAGTAGTGTCATCACTGGACAGGCCAGAGCTGGTGGCACTGAGAGAGGTTGGAAGGGCAGTTGCCTGGTCAGCAGTCCTGAGGCAAGCACCTGTAGTGTTAGGCACAGCTGTGGGCCCTGAGGATCCAGTCCCTGCCCTTTTAGATGTCACAGACCCAAAGTCTTTTAAGAACATTGGGAGTTGGGGAGGAGTAATGGGGGTGGCATGATGGCTCAATTGGCTTATCCTCCCCCTTGCAAGCACCAGGATCCTATATGAGCTCCGGTTCGTGTCCCAACTGCTCCACTTCCCATCCAGTTCCCTGATTGTAACCTGGCAAAGCAACGGAGGATGGCCTGGAGTCTTGGGATCCTGCACCCACTTGGGAGACCAGGAAGAAGCTCCTGGCTTCGGAATGGATCAACTCTGGCCGTCGTGGCCATTGGGAGAATGAACCATGAAAGGATGGCCACTAGCAATAGGCTGGATAGGGAGAGCCGAAGCCAGGAGGTAGCATTGAAGCAAAAAATGAAGCAGGTCAGGGGTCAACTACGTGATGTATGGGAAGGCACATCCTAGGAAGCAAGGTTTTGGGTTTTTATTGGAGTGATGTGGAAACCTGCACACAGTTTGCTTGGGTTCTCGCGAGAGCCCTCTGTCTGCCAGGTGGAGTCGTAGAAGCCAGGGGAGGCAGCGGGGGGTGGGGGGGCGGGGGTTGGCCAGGGAGGCTGTGATTCTTGTACAGGCCATCCAGTGTGGGGCCCCTGGGCTAGGGCAGCATGACTGGAAGACAGCTCTCACTGGTGGCGTTTGGAAGTGCAATGTTGGGCTCCAAGGGTAAGGTGTGGGTACCAGGGCAGGTGCAGCTCTCAGAGAAGCGGAAACTGGATCCTGACTGTGCGAGACCCAAGCAGCTTGGGCACCTTAGTGAACCTCATCTCCTACCCTGACTCACAGCTGTCCAGCTCTCTGCTACTTAATACATCCTGCAGTTCTGTGACCGTCCCATCCACCACTCCACAGCCACCAGGCAGACCACCCCTGGGTCCCCAGAGGATGTCGTCCCTGCCCCATCCCCCAGGGCCAAGTCAGCCTGGCTCATCTCACAGAGGGTACACAGCAGATGCCCACCTGTTCTAGAGCCAAGCCACACAGCGACATCCATCACCCCTTGCGATTTGTCAGCCCACACCCAGTTCAGCCACAGAACCCAACAGCCCCGTGCAGACAGCCCTGCCTGCCTAGTGCTGTCGCTGCCTGGCCACTCCACCTCCTCCCAGGGCTCCCAGGACTCACTCCACTCCCTGTAGTTCATTCTGCTCCAGCCAGCCCATCCTCCCACCTCCCCTGGCTTGTCCACTCTACCCTCACCTCTTGGACTCTGTCCTGTACCTCTGTCTCCCCTCTTCTCTCTCCACCCACATGGGCAGGCATCTCCAGGCCCATGAGCAGGCAAGCCCGGCCACTCTGTGAGCCTTCTCTTTTGTCACTGTGCTGTCCCTTCCCCTCTTCTCTACACCATTGCCTCCCTGACATCCACAATGGGCCTGGTTACCGGCCAGAGCTCAAGGAGTTCCTGCTGGGAATGAATGAATGAACAAATGATCAGGAGTCAACTTTCCAGTTTTGACACTGCTGTGTGGCCTCAGGCACCTCCTTGCCCGACTCCAGGCCTCACACCCCAATCTGCACCACTTTCAGCCCTCAGAGTCTAGCCAACCTCTATGTTGGCCACCCAGCCCCACCCCACCCCATCCCCTATCCCACCTGCCACCCGCTCCACCGGTCCCCCTACCTTCCGCAGCCACCGCGTGTTGTTTTCCAATGCCCTCTCCAGCCGTTGCACCCGCTGAGCCCGCCAGTCCCCCAAGTGCAGTGCACTAGCAGCTGAGTCCCTCTGGAGGATGTTGGAGCCCCCAAAGGTCTCTGGCTCCTGCAGACAGGGCCGAGGCTCAGGCAGCACAAAGGTGTAACTGCACTGACCATGCTGGATGCGATGCGACCAGCGACCATTGGCCTCCTGCCGCCTCTGTTGGGCTGCAGTCATGGTGGCCACCAGGAGGAGAAAGAGGCCACCCTGCAGCATGGCAGCGTAACAGAGCATCAGTCCCGGGGATGGCAAGTGTTGTCCACTCAGAGTCCCCAGGGGCTATGCCTGCCTGCCTGACAGTCTGCCACTTGGGCTTGGGCTCAGGACAGCCGACTGTGGTCAGCGTTGGCCAGGCTGCTGCAGCTGCAAACTCCGGATGGCCAAGCTCGGTGGGTCAGGGTAGGCGGGCTGGTGGCTATTTATACTGCTCCAAGTGCCCCAGCTGGTCTGCTTCTTCTAGCCGCGGCCTCCTGGCCCCCAGAGCCCTGCACCTCTCTTCTTTCCCTCTTCTCCTTTCTGTATTTTTCTGTCCGTGCCGGCCTGACTCCGGTCCTCTGGCCGTTGAGTCCTTTTATTCTCCAGTGGGGGCTTGGACAGCCTGCAGGAGGGGCGGGAAGAAAAGCAGCCCCCTGGGCACGGCGGGCTGGAACACCCGCAGACACCCAGCCTTGCACATCCCTCTGGCCCGGCCCCTCGCTGGCCAGGCGGCTTTCTCTCCACCCCCTCCCTGCCCCCAAGGCTCCCAGCTCGGGTTTCAGCCCCTGGCCTTCCCCTTCCCTCTGCCCTCTCTGGTTCCGTGTTAGCTCAGAACACAGGCAAAGCGTCCCCCAGAGAGGGAGAGGGAGGGGGGCTGTGAGCCACAGTCCGGGGATGGGAGGGGGGAGGCGGGGAGTAGGCAGTGGACCGGGCACCCAGTGCCCAGCACCGAACACCCAGTGCCCTATTTCACAGAGAGACACACAGAGAGGGTCTTTCCAGGGCCAGGGAAGGGGGTGCACAGCTGGGAGCTGGAGGATGGGGCAGCCTGGCTTGGGAGCTAGGTCAGTCAGGAGAAGCTTCAGGCCCTGGGGAAGCCTGTTGGGGATGTGCAGCAAGTGGCTGGGGAGGCGGGCAGGGAGAGGAGTTTGGGGTGTGGCAGGCTCCCAACTGGGTCCTCCAACCCAGCCAAAGGAGTCTGGCTCTGAGAACCCCAGGAATTTGTCATACCTGGGTCAACCTTGCTTCTGGAACCTGCATCTGCCCACTAATTCACATTGCTCCCATGGCAGGAGCCTGTTTCCTAAGCTGTTGGTGAAGCCCTTGGCCTCCCCACCTACGTGGCTCCTACCTCAACTCTTCTCATTGCCCCCCTCCCCACCCTGGTACTGGCTAGGAGACCTGGAGTGGGCAATTTGGGGGTCTCCACATTGATTTGTGGGCTTGGGTGAACCCCATTGTGGCACAAAGGAAATGTGTGGGACTCCAGTGGAGCGATGGCAGGGGCCAGGGGATTTTCAGTTGGCCAGGTCAGAATCTGGCTCCAGCACCTACCAGCTGTGTGACTCAGGGAAATGACTTAACCTCTCTGTGCCTTCATTTCCTCTTGAAAGAGGAAAATGACGCCACCCTTTTCATCAGGCAGGAAGTCGTGGGGGGGGGCACTAAATGCTTCGGATGCTCTCCCCTCCTCAGCCCCTCCCTGGGATTACCCCCACCAGAGCAAGGGACTGGTAGGGAGGAAGGGGGCATGGTTTGCCAGGTGGGAAGGGCCCAGGAGTGGGCCGGCCTGGCCTCCTCGCTCCCCACTCCTCCCTCTTGGGTTATTGTTTCTTTCCTTTGTTTTCCCAGATCCTGAGCCGGGCCAGGCTGCTTGGGGACAGCGGAAAATGAGGGCTTCATCCGGGGGACTGAGACCGCTCGAGCAGGTGCGAGGCTATGACAGGAAGGGGAAAAGGAGCCACTACCCAGTCTGTAGTGGGCCCTGCCTTCCGGAAGAGAACCCTGACCCCAGGCCTGAGGGTGAGGCTGGCTCAGCCACTCAGTCTGGAAGCATTTGACTTGGGACCAAAGAGCTGGAAGGGCTCCACCTCTAGGCTGCCCCTAAGCCAAGTTCCGTGGCCTCCACTCAGCCCCCTGGGAGCAGTGGGTGAGAACGCATGCCCCCATCTTGGTCATTGTCTACATCAGTGCGTGGCGCCCTGGAGAGCTCCCAGCGTAGGATGTGGTTAACCTTCTGGGGAAGACTAAAATTTCCTTTGTCTAGACTTTGTTAGACACAGGTCCCAGGATCACACTCAACGCAACATGGAAGAGGAAACAGGTTTACCCATCCACAGGGGAAGAAATGAAGGCAAAAGAGCTCTCCGCCTCTTGCCCCATCTGCCTGAGCCTTGCCAACCTCTGCAACATCATATCAACCCCATCTGCTCACCCCAGGCCCTTTGCACCTGCTAATTTCTCTGTCCAGAAAACCATCGTCTACCTACCCTCACTCCACTTTTTATCAGTATTCCAGTTATTACAGCTTGTGCCTGCCAGGCCAGACTTCCCACATGGCCACATGGTACACACATCCCAACATATGGTCATGCCCTGGCCTAGGAAATCACTGTGGCATTTTATCACTGTCTGTCCCTGTGGAATGCAAACCCTGTCTCTGTGGAGGAAATGGTCACAGTTATAATGAGGGCATGCAGGAGGGATGGCATTGTGGCACCCCAGTAAGTTAAACCCCCACCAGCAAGGCCGACATTCCATAAGCACACTGGTTTGAGCCCTGGCTACTCTACTTCTAATCCAGCTCCTGCTAACATGCCTGGGAAAGCAGCAGCAGATGGCCCTGGAGCTTGGGAGATCTGGATGGAGTTCCAGATTCCTGGTTATCATAGCCATTTGGAGAGTGAATCAGTGAGTCTCCCTCTTTGTAACTTTGCCTTTCAAATAAATAAGTACATTAGGTTAAAAAAAAAAAAAGTGAAGCAAGCCAGGGCATGCCTGGGGATGCCCAGTGGCTTCTGGAAAGTGCCCTCCAGCCCAGGCAGGAGAATTCCCCTCTCCCCTTTCCAGCTGCTGTGTTGTTGATGCCCATTCACACCAGCTCCTGCCTAGATCTTGGCTCCCATCAGAAGCCCATGTTACACGACCCCTCCTCTTCACCTCGTGGCTTTGTTGGTGCTACGAGGCTGATTCCTTGGACAGTGATCCCACAGGCCCTGTATTGGCCACTCAGTCGGTTAGCACCTTCTGGATGAAATGTACACCAGGAGATGGGGCCAAGGACCCGGGAGACGCCTTTGCCAAGGTCGTACTCAGTTTTCCTGAACTCCCAGATCAGGTGGCAAATGGACAGCTGTTCCTGGAGGGCTGTTGGTCACCCTGGGCTTTTTAAAGGGTGTGTTTCTGGAAGCAGCAAGTAGCCACGGCCTGAGCCCACCACCACTTTCAGCCGTCATCCGCACAGTCTGGCCCTCCTCTGCTTATCCCTGCGTCTCACCAGTCGGGTGACCACTGAGGGTGCCAGCAGGAAAGACCCAAGGCTCCTCTGCCAAGCTGCTCCTGGTCATTGCCTGGCCATCTCCCAGGGCCGTGGATAGCAATGGGGTGAGGCCTTGGTGGGAAGCTGTGTGAATGCTGGCCATACTGGAGATGGTAGTGTCCCTGGAGGACAGAGGTGAAGTTCATGGGCAAGCATCAAGGTGCCCCCTGGAGCCTTGTGCCAGACAGCAGCTATGTGTCCTTGCCTTCTCTCACCACTGCCCCCAGCCCAGGGACCCACTCAGCTACAGGGTCGGCTCTGAGTCCAGGCTGGGGATCCACTTGTGAGATAGCCCGTGAGCAGGGTCTCACACCCCTGACACGGACCCTCATGTTGACTTTGTTGAACAAGGCTTTGGTTCCTCATCTATGAGGTGAGGAGCACAGGGGCTGGCAGCTCCCTTGGCTTCCCCCAGAGGGAATGCATTTATTTGTTCAAGTGGCTTAGCCAGGCTGCCCCTGGGGACAGAGCCACATGTTCCTAGTCTTCTCCTCCTAGTCCTAGAGCCTAGCTGGGCTGGGATGAGAGGGAGTTGAGCAGAAAGCATCAACTCATACAGTCCAGCCTCAGGAACCAAGTGGGTCCACTCCTCTACGCTTGCCATGGAGACGCTAAGTCCCATCCAAGTTCAAGGGGCAAGAGACCAGCATCCATAGCTCCATGGGAGTGGCCCAGCTCTGGAAGGGTCGTGGGATCAGGTGTGTGGTTGTGGGCATATTTGGAGCAGGCAATGGCTTGGAAGGTAGGAGAAGTTGTCCACCCCCAAATCCCAAGACCACTGTGTCATGCCTCACTGCTCCATGTTGCTAGCTGTCATAACTCTCCTTGGAAGGACTCTGCCTCTGGGCAGGAGAGTCTACCAGACAGCTGCCACAAGCGCTGCAGGAAGTTGGGCTATTTCCACTGGTGCTGTCAGAGAGCTTGGCTCATGAATTCAGGGGGTTTAACCCAAATCAGCTGGCATATTGGCATCCAATCCGAGCCAGTGGAGCCTGTTGGCAACACCTTCTCTCTCCAAGCCTCGGTGTCCCCTCTGCAATGCAATGTCCCAGCTCTGCCATCCAGGGACTAAGGGGACAGAACGGAGGACAGGCACCCCCATGGGCAGTGTACAGCCTAGGCCGCCAGCCCTGCTCGTGCTTCTCAAGCCTGGGGGAAGGGGTGGGTTCAGCTGCTGCTGAGCCCGTGTCTGGCGCTGTGCCAGGACGTCAAGAATGCATCTGCCAGGTCGGAGGGCAGATCTATTTTGGAAGCAGGGACCCTGCAGAGGCCCCAGAGGAGCCCGTGGCCTGGAGAGCTGACCACCCCTGTGCACTGTTTGTTTTGCTTATGCAGGCACAGCGTATCCCCTGCAGACAAGTCAGAGAACACACACTCACGAGAGAAAACCAACGCTGTTTGGGCTCTCAGCAGCCACGGCCAACGCAGAGCTGTGGTCCCTGCATCGTCTTCCTCTGCACAGGGGTACAAGGATTGGTGGGTGGATTTTCTAGCAAAGACCACAAGGAATGCTCTGTGAACTGTGCTTAACCTAATTTTATTTATTTTGGACTGCTATGAAAAGTATCAGACAGGTGCACAGGATAATATATCTCCATGCAGCCATCATCCCCAGTAGGCACATTGTGATATTTGCCCCAAGTTTCTAAAGACATAAAATGTTGGAAGGGAGGGTGGGAATCAGGGTGTCTGGCACGATGGCTCAATTGGCTAATCCTCC